ATGCTAGTGAGGACAGGGGAAAGCCCAAACAGTCTCAATCCTATACCTCAAAGAACTACAGGCAACTAAGGAATGTTGAGACTGAGGGAAATCATATTCCCCAAGGAAGAGCACACAACTTGGTTATCCAATACCAAATGATCATCCCCAAAACATTCACACAAGTAGCATTAAAACTGAGAAGGTCCTGTGGTACATCTATACAATGGAGTTTACTCAGCAATGAAAAATAAGGAAATCATGAAATTTGCAGGTAAATGGTGGGACCTGGAAAGGATCATCCTGAGTGAGTTGTCCCAGAAGCAAAAAGACATGCATGGTATATACTCACTCATATAAACATACAATATAAATTAACCCACTAAAATCTGTACATCTAAACAAACTAAGCAAAAGAGAGGACCCTAACTAAAATGTTCAATCCCCACCCTGAAAGGCAAAGAGGATGGACATCAGAAGAAAAAGAAAATAGGAAACAACCTCGGAACCTGCTACAGAGGGCCTCTGAAAGCCAGAAGAAAACAGGAAACAACCTTGAAACCTGCCACAGAGGGCCTCTGAAAGCTTCTGCAGTATAGACTGTCAAAGCAGATGCTGAGCCTGATGGCCAACTGATGGGCAGAGTGAATGGAATTTTATGTAAGAAGTGGGAAATAGTAAGAGCTGGAGGGGACAGGAACTCCACAAGGAGAGCAACAGAACAAGATAATTTGAACACAGGGAACTTCCCAGAGACTCATACTCCAACCAAGGACTATTCGTGGAGATGACCTGGAACCCCTGCACAGGTGTAGCCCATGGCAGTTCAGTGTCCAAGTGGTTTACATAGTAATGGGAAGAGGGACTGCCTCTGACATAATCTGATTGGCCTGCTCGTTGATCACTTCCCCCTGAGGGGGGAGCAGCCTTACCAGGCCACAGTAGAGGACAATGCAGCCACTTTTGATGAGAACTGATAGACTAAGATCAGAAAGAAGAGGAGAACCTCCCCTATCAGTGGACTTGGGGAGTGACATGCTTGCAGAAAGGGGAGGGAGGGTGGGATCGGGAGGGGAGGAGGGAGGGGCTTATGGGGGGATACAAAATGAATAAAGTGTAATTAATAAAAAATTTAAAAAAAATGTAACTAATAAGAAATATATATAATCAATTATTTAAAAAAAAAGATTCCCAGACTCACTCTAATGCAAAAAAAAAAACAAAAAACTGAGAAGGTCATGCATTTGAAAGCGAGCAAGGGGGAGTATATGGGAGAACTTGGAAAAATGAAAGGAAAGGGGAAAATATTAATTATGTTATAATCTCAAAAATAAAAATTCATTTTAAAAATGGAATATATATCCCACCATGTGCTGAGGAAGAAACCAATGGTTTTCTTGGATAGATCATGGCATTGGGTATAAAGTAACTGCTTTGTGAATTATAAGATACGGTTTACATTTCTCAACTCCACAAATTCAATTGTTCTACCATCAGAAGTTGTGTTTCCTTTTTAAACATACATAAGTTATCAGCTTCATTATAGATTTGTTTCTCACACACACTGTGATGTGTCTTCCAGCTTTGTGATTTGTTCTAGTTATATGTCTTCGATTTCTTTGAAAATACACTTTCATTTATTTAAAATTTATACTAAGCTTTCATACCAGCATAGTCTGTTTCATGTCATTTTTTATTTTTCCAGGTTTTCATTGGTAACTCTTATTTTACTATTTCCTATGGGAATACTTAATTTCTGATAGTATGTCATTTTTGGAACAAATCTTCATGCAATTAATGAAAACTGTGCCCTTTGCAATGCTGGTACCCATTTGACAGTTCATTATAAATTCTCATATATACTTCCGTGCCTATTTAAATAGGTTAATCAGTAATAATAATTCTCAGAATTATTTAGCAATAAGGGGATAGATTGGCAGTCACTGAGCTACCTTCTTCTGGGAAATGGAACCTGTTAATCAAGACTCTGGGTGGCAAAGCAATTTGCTTCTTCTGTGGCTTTTGCTTGGGATGGTCTACCAAGGTTCAATCCCAGAGGACCCTTATATTCCCAAGATCACTGTCTTCACAAGATGTTCGCAAGTGTAATCGGCCAACATATTCTAAGTCCTGTCTTTTGCAGGTGCACCAGAGGAGACAGAACTATTATATCCCTTTTCTCTTCACATTGAAGGTAAGAGAAGTCTTTTTTTTTTCTATCCCTTGATTCGCAAACTACCGATACTGTTAGAAAATTGATGGCCTTATAAATAGACTAGAACATTTCAGAAATACTTTAGCTCAGAACTCGATGTTCCTCTGAACTCACTTCAAAGTTCAGTTACTTTGACTAAAATATTAATAACCAATCTTTAATAAATGTTAATGTATGAAATATTTAAATTTTATAAGTTTACTGTTTAATAGAAGCTTTGTCCTCATGTGGAGCTCATCTAAGCCTCTTCTGTGAAGTGGATAGTGATTGTTAATTTCTGTATCTAAAGCAGATATAGAAAAATTAGAGAAGGGAATGCATCATCTACCTGCATAGGTTTCATGCATCAAGCCAAGCATTTACACTATTAGGTCACTATTAGTTTTACATCTTTAAACACACAGGAAAGGAAATTTATGTGAGATGACCTTTTTTATAAGGGATTATACTCTTATTAGGAGATTAGGAGTCTAACTGAGGTTTTCTGAATATCAAATCCATAACCCCGTCTTATGTAACACAACTAGACATGAGCAGTACTGTTCTAACTTAGAATATTTGGGTCTTAATAATGTGCAGGGTAATCATTCTCACATCATTCTTGCTTAGTGATTATGTGCTTTTTAAAGATGTGAAATGGAGAGGAACAAGCTTAAATTGTGACACACATCCAAACCATGGTGTTAAAAGAACAAAGAATAAGCGAGAAAGAATATTTAGGGCTAACGGGATCATTATTCAGTGTCTCAAGTGCTTTTGTGGAGAAAATGTGCCACTGTTTAGGCACATTTAGATGAGAGTTTCAGTAAATCACAAAATGAAATTTCAGAGAATCTTATCTTCTAATGCTGATGCAAGAATTAGAAATTTCATGGATTAATTGTACATTGATGATGTCCTGATGTCCAGTATCATTCTTAAAAATTAAATGTTTCATAACTACACTAATCTGATCATTAGTTTGCTGGATTAAAATAAAATTATCATGATCAGACAAGTAGTAGAATAGTCCTTAGATGTCTGGACACCCACACACCATGTTCTTAAGTAATTAACTGTTTTCCAAAGTACAGTTATTTTTCATAAGGCTTCTGAAAAAGTATTTTGTTATGAAATAATCTTAAAAGTTAAAATAAGTCAACATTTTAAAGAATGTTTATCTATTTCATGTGCAATTCAATTATTGTATATAATATCATTTATCATTTAGCACTGTGTTAATGAAAGCCAAGTATTTGGTTTTCCTTAAACTTACAGGTGATCATATGGTCATGTTTTAGTAAGTTTTTCTTAATATGGATTCTGATAGACATTTTACATCATGATACCATTTAAATTCATAATAATACTTTGAATAAAGTGTAATTATCATCCCCATTTTCCAAGTAAAAAAAACATGAGATTAGAGAAGTTCCATATTCCCCAGGATCATAGAGTGCCTGGTAGAATTATGGTAGTTATTTTCACAGTCAACATTAGTTTCATATCACACAGTACCCTTCTTTTCTGGTACAGTAGTGGCAAAGTGTTAATTACCACGAGAAATAATTTAAAGTATTTTTGAAATTCAAGGAAGAGAAAATGAGTGAACCAGAGACTATTTCTTAGCTATGAAAATAACAGAGGTCCATCTATGCTAAGATGCATGTGATATTGACATGGTTTTCTGTTAACAATATTTGGGGTCAGGAGGAGTCATTGGAAACAGATTTTAGTTAAAATGAATATATTGACTAAAGGTTAATATTTAAATTTGGTGGTTTAAAAGCCCTGCTAGGCCACAGAGGAGGACTTTGCAGCCAGTCCTGAAAATCCCTGATAAAACAGGGTCAGATGGAAGGGGAGGAGGTCCTTCCCAATCAGTGGACTTGGAAATGGGCAGGAAGGAGATGAGGAAGGGAGGTTTTGGGAGGGAATGAGGGAGAGAGATACAGCTGGGATACAGAGCTAATAAAATGTAACTAATAAAAAAATAATAAAAAAAGAAGGCTACAGAGCACCTTTCTGGAGCTTCTTAAATGTTGGTTTACTAAAAAAAATAAAATAAAATAAAAGTGTAAAGTGCATTTTTTTATGAGTTGTGCCTGTTCGTTGATATTTTGGAGTGATTTTATACTGTTTTGTTTTTTTCTTTTTTTTGGCTTTTCCTTTTGAGGAAAGTACCTTTTCCCTTTAGATTTGACATTTTATCTGCAAAAATAAAGGAAAATATAGGAAAAAGTTTTGGATTGTTCTGCTGCAGTCCTGTGAAAAGTCACAAAAAGTTTTTGGGGTGTCTTTCGTCGTTTTGTTCATGTCTTTAATATGTTAAAATAAAACCTAGGGTAAAATACAAATTTGTCGGAGTCATATCTCATTAACTTGATGCTATCTATCTATCTATCTATCTATCTATCTATCTATCTATCTATCCATCCATCCATCTATATTCAGGAGGGATAAATGAATGGAATTCTTTCTACCAGTTCTGAACAGTTCTTGACTCAAGACTTCCTTGAAGCTTGCTAGTGAGGCCGTCACTGAGGAACCTGATGTTGCTGCACGCCTGCTAAAAACACCTATTGCTGACCCACTTCCTGTGATGCTTTTGGTTAAAAGTCTTTCATTACTAAACTGTAAGCAGAAATTAACATGCAGGTTTATAGGTGAACACATTTCATAAAAATAAAAAGGATCCAGGTCTTTGTTCCTTTTGCATGTAAATCTAGATTTGATTGGTGAAGTAAAATAATTGCCTATAAGGTAACTATATCACCTGTCTAATGCATATTTTTTTTCCCACTGTAAAGAGAACACTGTGGATCCAATGACCTGGGAGAATCACTCTGTATTGATGGAGTTTGTATTTCTTGCCTATCCCAACGACCTAGAGCTACGTTTGCTCTGCTTTCTTGGTGTCAGCCTGGCTTATGCTTTGATCATCTCTGGGAACATCCTCATTGTAGTCTCCATCCAGACAGAAACCCGCCTACACACACCCATGTACTATTTTCTGGGTAGCCTATCAGGAATAGAACTGTGCTACACTGCAGTGGTGGTACCCCACATCCTGGCCAACACCCTACAGTCAGAGAAGAGCATCACTCTGCTAAGCTGCGCCACTCAAATGGTCTTCTTCATTGGACTTGGTAGTGCTGATTGCTTCCTCTTAGCGTCCATGGCCTATGACAGATATGTCGCCATCTGTCATCCCTTGCAGTACCCTCTTATCATGACTGTAACTCTTTGTGTTCGCTTGGTTGTGGCTTCTGTGATCATTGGCTTGTTCCTGTCTTTACAGCTTGTGGTTTTCATATTCTGTCTGCCATTCTGCCAGGACAGGGGAATAGAGCACTTCTTTTGTGATGTGCCACCAGTAATGCGTCTTGTGTGTGCCACAAGCCATATCCATGAGCTCTCTGTGCTTGTAGCAGCCACGTTAGCCATTGCTGTGCCTTTCTTTTTCATTGCTTTTACCTATGCCTTGATAGTGGCTGCTGTGTTCAAGCTCCGCTCAGCAGCTGGTCGTCACAGGGCTTTCAACACCTGCTCCTCCCACCTCACTGTGGTGTTGCTACAATATGGCTGCTGTGCCTTCATGTATCTACGTCCCAACTCCAGCTACCATCCCAAGCAAGATCAGTTCATCTCCCTAGTGTACACACTGGGAACCCCATTCCTCAACCCCCTCATCTACACTCTGAGGAACAATGAGATGAAAGGTGCTATAGGAAAAGTTCTTACTAGAAATTATCTCACCCAGAAAATTATATGATAGGAAAAATCCAATATAATAAGCACACCCCTGTCCTCCTAAAAAGTATTGCCTCTGCTGATGTAGAAATGATGTGCACAGTAACAATAAACATAAGGTAACTGAATGTTTACCTATGTGTGCTGACAATCTTTACAAAGTGCTATTTTTAGAGTGGGTGATTAGTCTTGTTAGAAAGATATAAGCAAATACATGAGCAGAAAGTAAGGGTGAGTGGCAAATATATGGCTTTGGAAAGGTAAATATTGGGGAAAAATAGTTTATTCCATAAGTTTCAAATAAAAAATATGAAATAACAAGATTGTCTGCAACTCTTGAGAACTAGGGAATGTAAAACACTTAAGCATCTTAACTGTAGGTGGCCATTCTCATTAAGACCCCTAAAAATTAAGAAGAGGTACAGTGTTAACATAAGCCAAGGTGAACAGGATTCAGGATAGAATCTATTTAAGGAATGGTATCTTTGATTGGAATAAGAAACTTTTAACCAATAAGATCACACAAAGAGGAGTTGACACTTGCTTATCACCTGTGCAGGACATGTGACTTTACAGTGTTCCCTCAACCTCCTTCTTAATTATGAACTGGCATAATTTCCCACTTCCTAACAAAAACAGAAGGTGGAGGTAAAAGATTGTTGGAAAATTACATTGTGAAGAAGCTAGAATTAAAGTAATTCTTTACGGAAAAAAAAGGAAGCGTGGATGGCAGTGCTACAATTCTTGCATCTTTTGCTCAGCCGTGTACTGTGGGACCCAGCTAGATGCAAGAGTACCTGGTATCTGTGTGATTCTATCATGAGGTCAGTCTACTGAGATAAAAGCTTTGTAGCGAGGGACATTGAGGGCTAGTAACACAGAGAATGACTCAGGGACTGGTGCTAATTACAAGGTCCTATATTTTGAGCACAGTTTGCAGTTTGTAGCATTGAGACTGTTTCATGATGCAATAGCTGATCAACTGGATGTTCCACATGTATTTAGAAAGAATATCATAGTATTTTATGTAAAAGTAAAAGTACATTTTCTTCAACAAATGGTTCTGGTCCAGCTGGATGTCTACATGTAGAAAAATGCAAATAGATCCATATTTATCACCCTGCATAAAACTAAATTCCAAGTGGATCAAAGACCTCAATATAAAACCAGACACAGTAAACCTGTTAGAAGAAAAAGTGAGAAAGAACCTTAAACTCATTGACGTAGCAGACAACTTCCTGAACAGAACACCAACAGCACAAGCTTTAAGATCAACGCTCAATAAATGTGACCTCATGAAACTGAAAAGCTTCTGTAAAGCAAAAGACACTGTCGTCAGAACAAAACGACTGCCTACAGATTGGGAAAGGATCTTCATCAAACCTGTATCTGACCAAGTGCTAATATCAAGAACATATAAAGAACTCAAGAAGTTAAACAGCAACAAATCAAGTAATCCAATTAAAAAAAAATGGGGTACTGAGCTAAACAGAATTCTTAATAGAGGAATAGCGAATGGCAGAGAAACAAAGAAATGCTCAACATTCTTAGTCATCAGGGAAATGCAAGTCAAAATGACTCTGAAATTTCACCTTACACCCATCAGAATGGCTAAGATCAGAAACTCAAATGACAACACATTCTGGAGAGGCTGTGGAGAAAGGGGAACCCTCCTCTACTGCTGGTGGGAATGTAAACTTGTACATCCACTTTGAAAATCAATCTGGCACTTTCTCAGAAAATTAGTAATAGTGCCTCCTCAAGATCCAGCTATACCACTGCTAGGCATATATCCAAAATATGCTTAAGCACACATTTTCTAATAACATGTATTTAAAATGATTTTTGAATGAAGGAACGTAAGCTTATATTTGTCTTAAAATGCTAGCTATTAGTAGTGTTATCATTATGTGCCCACAGTGTTTAAGAAGTATAAATAATGCATATAGCATAAAATATACATGTCCATAAACATATAGTTGGAGTCTTTAAAAATACTTTCTTTTATAATAATGGAATATTTAAGTAGAAAGATTTACTATGGCCAATATTTTCACATAACTAAGATTACTAAACAAGTACTAGAGAGTGTGATTTCTTAATAAAGGGCTGTAGTTTCCTGCCAGGTCTAAGAGGCTGGCAAAGTCTCCAGTTAAATCCAATATTGTACACATGAAGATTCCAGAGTGACTCCTCTTTCTTTATCTTCTATGTCTACTGTCTATAAAATTTAGATGGGGGAACTGGTGTTCATTACAAGGTCCTGCATTTGGAGCACAGTTTGCAGTTTGTAGCACTAAGACTGTTTCATGACACAATAGCTGATCAACTGAAATGTTCCACACGTATTTAGAAAGAACATTCATCCAGTAGATCACAAAAAATGTCTATAATTTTAAGTTAGCTAATAGTATATAGTTTGGAGTTTGAATATATTTGGTTTTGGATGATGGCAGGGTCTCACTATGTAACTCTCATTGGCTTTAAGCTTTCGATCTTTCTGCTTCAGCCTCCCAAAAACTGGAGCTATAAACACAAGCTACCACTCTTAATAGTACAGACCATAATGGAAACTACATAAAGCTGGAATAATTTAGTCTAGAGAAAGCCTTCCTTGTGACAGGAATAGATTGTAAGGAATGGGTTTTTACAAATAGTGTTCAGTTGCAAAAGAAAATAGACCTTCCAAAGAATTATCCTTGATTTCTGAAATAAACATGACGTAATAAAAAGAAAAAAATTCTTCTGCTTTGTTTTAATTCTTTTTAATTTAATTTAATTTTTTAAAGTTTAAATATTTTTTTCTTGTTGCAGAAGGAAGGGGAGTACATCCCATACTAAGTGATTTTTAGCAGCATCTAAAGGATGTAGGACTCGATGACTAATTGTGAAGGGATATTATGTGCAATGAGCAGAGGTTGTTTAAACCTCAATGAAAATATGAAATAACCCATATAAAAATATGGATTGAGTGAGCTTATGTAAACTAGATATGCAATTCATTAATTATAGTTGTATTTATTTATTGGAGGTAAAAATTGAAATGGATGCAAGAATAAATTTTAAAAAATTGACAGAACTTTAAATTGTTCTTCACAAAATGTCCCTTCTAAGGTATTTGTGTATTAATGTCTGTATACTCACAACACTGGCACCCTGAATTACATCCAATATAGATTTAAGCTATAAACAAGGAATAGCAAAATAAGAGATGGTACACAGTAAAAATAATATCGCAGAAAATAGAAACTGAATCTTTTTCCCACATATTTCCTTTTTGAGCAGAGGGAGATAGATCTGTGCAGAAAGAAACTAGAAATTCTTGAGCCTTCACTGAAACTAAGCAAAGAAAAAAATCCTGGTTGAATTAAGCAGTGCATGGGACACAGAGGTAAACAACACAGATTTCACAGAATATATGGCAAAGCAACTCTGACTGACAAATACACTAACAGAGTAAGGAAAGAGTAGAGATGTGGAATCGCTGTAGTTTCATCGTGGCCACCTTGTTTATAATTGGTAGAATACATAAGTTAAAGGACCCGACTGATCTCCCTGAGGTGTACCTGCAAAGGCTCTTTTTAATTTTAAAATTTATTTATTATTACAATTTATTCATTTTGAATCCTGGATCTAGCCCCCTTCCTCATCTCCTCCTAGGCCCACCATCTCTCCCTCTTAAATCCTGAGGTGACTATGGGCAATATCTGAGCAGAGGGTCTAGGTCCTCTCCATACATGATCCTTGGTTGGAGTATTGGTCTCGGCTAGTCAACCTGGGCCCAGATTTTTTTGGCTCTAATGGTCTTCTTGTGAAACTCCTGTCCCCTCCAGGTCTTTCTATCTCCCCCTTATTCCATAAGATTTCCTGTATTCTGCCCAATGTTTATACGTGAGACACTATCCAAATCAACTAAATCAGAAATGAAAGTGGGACATAATGACAGACCCTGGGGGAATACAAAGAATCATTTAGGTCTTACTTCAAAAGCCTGTACGCCATTAGATATTCCTCTATTGAGAATGCTCTATTTAGTTTTATTTAGTACACCATTTTTAATTCGATTATTTGGTTTGTTGGTGTTTAATTTCTTGAGTTCTTTATATATTCTGGATATTAGCCCCTCTCAGATGTAAGGTTGATGAAGGTCTTTTCCCAGTCCATAGGCTGTCATTTTGTTCTGTTGACTGTGTTTTTTGCTTTACAGAAGTTTTTCAGTTTCATTTGTTGATTGCTTAGAGCCTGAGATCTTAGTGTTTTGTTCAGGAAGTTGTCCCCTGTGTCAATGAGTTCAAGGTTTTTCCCCACTTTTTCTTCTAGCAGATTTAGTGTATCTAGTTTTATGTTGAGGTCTTTGATCCACTTGGACTTTACTTTTTTACAGGGTGATAGGTATGGGTTTATTTGTTTATTTGCATTTTTCTACATGTAGACATTCTATTAGACCAGTACCATTTGTTGAAGATGCTATCTTTTTTCCATTGTTTGGTTTTGGCTTCTTTGTCAATAATCAGGTGTCCTTGCATGGGTTTATTACTGGATTTTTGATTCAATTCCATTCATCCTCCAGTCTGTTTCTTTGACAGTACGTTGCCATTTTTATTACTGTTGCTCTATAGTACATCTTGAGCTCAGAGATGAAGATACATACAGAAATTCTTTTATTGTACAGTATGGTTTTGGTTATTCTGGGATTTGTTTTCCATATGAAGTTGAGAATTGTGCTTTCAAGGTCTATAAAAAATTGTGTTGGTATTTTGATGAGAATTGCACTGAATCTGTAGATTGCATTTGTTATGATGGTAATTTTTACTATGTTAATCCTGCCAAATATGAGCATGGGAGATCTTTCCATCTTCTAGTACCTTCTATAATTTCTTTCTTCAGAAACTTAAAGTCATTTTTTTTTTGTACAAGTTTATCACTTGCTTGGTTAGAGTTACACAAAGGAACTTCATGTTATTAGAGGCTATTGTGAAGGATGTTGTTTCTCTAAAATCTTTCTCAGTCCTTTTGTTTTTT